TCGGGTCTCCTTCAGCCAGAGATCAGTGTTTGTGTATATTTCGCCTGCTCTCGCGAATTCCTTGCATTGTTAAAATCTCTAGTAAGGCTGATGCATGCAAGGGATGAGATGAAAAGCTGTAAGCCTTCTCCCTGAAAGCTGGCTGCCTTGGATCAAACAAGTAGCGCATGCTACACGCCAAGGTATTGCCCAGTGTGGGTAGATTGGTAAAGCACTGCGTACCTTGTCCTAAGGTTCGTGGTTCGAGTCTCCTTCAACCAGAGATCAGTGTTTGTGTATATTTCGCCTGCTCTCGCGAACTCCTTGCATTTTTAAAATCTCTAGTAAGGCTGTTGCATGCAGGGGATGAGATGAAAAGCTGTAAGCCTTCTCCCTGAAAGCTAGCTGCCTTGGATCAAACAAGTAGCACATGCTACATGCCAAGGTATTGTCCAGTGTGGGTAGATTGGTAAAGCACTGCGTACCTTGTCCTAAGGTTCGTAGGTTCAGCCAGAGATCAGTGTTTATATATATATATATATATATATATATATATATATATATATATATATATATATATATATATATATATATATATATATATATATATATTATTTTTTTTTTTATTATCACACTGGCCGATTCCCACCAAGGCAGGGTGGCCCGAAAAAGAAAAACTTTCACCATCATTCACTCCATCACTGTCTTGCCAGAAGGGTGCTTTACACTACAGTTTTTAAACTGCAACATTAACACCCCTCCTTCAGAGAGCAGGCACTGTACTTCCCATCTCCAGGACTCAAGTCCGGCCTGTCGGTTTCCCTGAACCCCTTCATAAATGTTACTTTGCTCACACTCCAACAGCATGTCAAGTATTAAAAACCATTTGTCTCCATTCACTCCTATCAAACACGCTCACGCATGCCTGCTGGAAGTCCAAGCCCCTCGCACACCCCCTCTCTCCAACCTTTCCTAGGCCGACCCCTACCCCGCCTTCCTTCCACTACAGACTGATACACTCTTGAAGTCATTCTGTTTCGCTCCATTCTCTCTACATGTCCGAACCACCTCAACAACCCTTCCTCAGCCCTCTGGACAACAGTTTTGGTAATCCCACACCTCCTCCTAACTTCCAAACTACGAATTCTCTGCATTATATTCACACCACACATTGCCCTCAGACATGACATCTCCACTGCCTCCAGCCTTCTCCTCGCTGCAACATTCATCACCCATGCCTCACACCCATATAAGAGCGTTGGTAAAACTATACTCTCATACATTCCCCTCTTTGCCTCCAAGGACAAAGTTCTTTGTCTCCACAGACTCCTAAGTGCACCACTCACTCTTTCCCCTCATCAATTCTATGATTCACCTCATCTTTCATAGACCCATCCGCTGACACGTCCACTCCCAAATATCTGAATACATTCACCTCCTCCATATTCTCTCCCTCCATTCTGATATTCAATCTTTCATCACCTAATCTTTTTGTTATCCTCATAACCTTACTCTTTCCTGTATTCACCTTTAATTTTCTTCTTTTGCACACCCTACCAAATTCATCCACCAATCTCTGCAACTTCTCTTCAGAATCTCCCAAGAGCACAGTGTCATCAGCAAAGAGCAGCTGTGACAACTCCCACTTTGTGTGTGATTCTTTATCTTTTAACTCCACGCATCTTGCCAAGACCCTCGCATTTACTTCTCTTACAACCCCATCTATAAATATATTAAACAACCACGGTGACATCACACATCCTTGTCTAAGGCCTACTTTTACTGGGAAAAAATTTCCCTCTTTCCTACATACTCTAACTTGAGCCTCACTATCCTCGTAAAAACTCTTCACTGCTTTCAGTAACCTACCTCCTACACCATACACTTGCAACATCTGCCACATTGCCCCCCTATCCACCCTGTCATACGCCTTTTCCAAATCCATAAATGCCACAAAGACCTCTTTAGCCTTATCTAAATACTGTTCACTTATATGTTTCACTGTAAACACCTGGTCCACACACCCCCTACCTTTCCTAAAGCCTCCTTGTTCATCTGCTATCCTATTCTCCGTCTTACTCTTAATTCTTTCAATAATAACTCTACCATACACTTTACCAGGTATACTCAGCAGACTTATCCCCCTATAATTTTTGCACTCTCTTTTATCCCCTTTGCCTTTATACAAAGGAACTATGCATGCTCTCTGCCAATCCCTAGGTACCTTACCCTCTTCCATACATTTATTAAATAATTGCACCAGCCACTCCAAAACTATATCCCCACCTGCTTTTAACATTTCTATCTTTATCCCATCAATCCCGGCTGCCTTACCCCCTTTCATTTTACCTACTGCCTCACGAACTTCCCCCACACTCACAACTGGCTCTTCCTCACTCCTACAAGATGTTGTTCCTCCTTGTCCTATACACGAAATCACAGCTTCCCTATCTTCATCAACATTTAACAATTCCTCAAAATATTCCCTCCATCTTCCCAATACCTCTAACTCTCCATTTAATAACTCTCCTCTCCTATTTTTAACTGACAAATCCATTTGTTCTCTAGGCTTTCTTAACTTGTTAATCTCACTCCAAAACTTTTTCTTATTTTCAACAAAATTTGTTGATAACATCTCACCCACTCTCTCATTTGCTCTCTTTTTACACTGCTTCACCACTCTCTTAACCTCTCTCTTTTTCTCCATATACTCTTCCCTCCTTGCATCACTTCTACTTTGTAAAAACTTCTCATATGCTAACTTTTTCTCCCTTACTACTCTCTTTACATCATCATTTCCACCAATCACTCCTCTTCCCTCCCGCACCCACTTTCCTGTAACCACAAACTTCTGCTGAACACTCTAACACTACATTTTTAAACCTACCCCATACCTCTTCGACCCCATTGCCTATGCTCTCATTAGCCCATCTATCCTCCAATAGCTGTTTATATCTTACCCTAACTGCCTCCTCTTTTAGTTTATAAACCTTCACCTCTCTCTTCCCTGATACTTCTATTCTCCTTGTATCCCATCTACCTTTTACTCTCAGTGTAGCTACAACTAGAAAGTGATCTGATATATCTGTGGCCCCTCTATAAACATGTACATCCTGAAGTCTACTCAGCAGTCTTTTATCTACCAATACATAATCCAACAAACTACTGTCATTTCGTCCTACATCATATCTTGTATACTTATTTATCCTCTTTTTCATAAAATATGTATTACCTATAACTAAACCCCTTTCTATACAAAGTTCAATCAAAGGGCTCCCATTATCATTTACACCTGGCACCCCAAACTTACCTACCACACCCTCTCTAAAAGTTTCTCCTACTTTAGCATTCAGGTCCCCTACCACAATTACTCTCTCACTTGGTTCAAAGGCTCCTATACATTCACTTAACATCTCCCAAAATCTCTCTCTCTCCTCTGCATTCCTCTCTTCTCCAGGTGCATACACGCTTATTATGACCCACTTCTCGCATCCAACCTTTACTTTAATCCACATAATTCTTGAATTTACACATTCATATTCTCTTTTCTCCTTCCATAACTGATCATTCAACATTACTGCTACTCCTTCCTTTGCTCTAACTCTCTCAGATACTCCAGATTTAATCCCATTTATTTCCCCCCACTGAAACTCCCCTACCCCCTTCAGCTTTGTTTTGCTTAGGGCCAGGACATCCAACTTCTTTTCATTCATAACATCAGCAATCATCTGTTTCTTGTCATCCGCACTACATCCACGCACATTTAAGCATCCCAGTTTTATAAAGTTTTTCTTCTTCTCTTTTTTAGTAAATGTCCACAGGAGAAGGGGTTACTAGCCCATTGCTCCCGGCATCTTAGTCGCCTCATACGACACGCATGGCTTACGGAGGAAAGATTCTTTTCCACTTCCCCATGGACAATAGAAGAAATAAAGAAGAACAAGAGCTATTTAGAAAAAGGAGAAAAACCTAGATGTATGTATATATATATATGCATGTGCGTGTCTGTGAAGTGTGACTAAAGTGTAAGTAGGAGTAGCAAGATATCCCTGTTATCTAGCATGTTTATGAGACAGAAAAAGAAAACAGCATATATATATATATATATATATATATATATATATATATATATATATATTATATATATATATATATATATATATATATATATATATTATATATATATATATTTATATATATACATGCATGCATGCATGTACATGCATGTGTAGTGTGACGTAAGTGTAAGTAAATGTAGCAAGACGTACTTGAAATCTTGCATGCTTATGAGACAGAAAAAGACACCAACAATCCTACCATCATGTAAAACAATTACAGGCTTCTGTTTTACACTCACTTGGCAGGACTGTAGTACCTCCCTGGGTGGTTGTTGTCTACCAATTTACTATGTAATATATGACATTTAATGTGCCCCCAGTATTAGTATTATGTATTATTATTACGGCATCAAGACTAGTGAGACACTCTTAGTGATTTTAATGTGTACCTGCATGTCAGTACAGTTGTAAGTTTATTTAGGTACATGTACACATAAATATAATTATCTAATGTAAAAAATAGTACGTATAAATTTATTAGACTATAACCCAACAAATTTTTTCTTATGTACAATGATATGCCCTTAAGCTTGCCCGAAATGCTCTGCATAACCATGAGCTTTCAACATGTGCTGAAGTATCACCCATTTCTGTACAAATAATAATTTTTTTTTTCAACAAACTGGCTATATCCCACCAAGGTAGGGTGACCTAAAAAGAAAAATAACAGTTTCTCTTTGTAAATTTAATAATTAATACTGAAGAAGTTACTAGCCCCTTGCTCCCAGCATTTTAGTCACCTCTTACAACATGCATGGATTACAGAGGAAGAATTCTGTTCTACTTCCCCATGGAGAACAAATAATATATCATGTTGAAATAAACTTGTATTGTAAATAAACTGTACCCTATACTTACATAATACAATAATTATAATTCTTCTTAAAAAATCAGACAACTTACAAACTTATTTCTGTCATGAATTCCCGAGGCATGCTAGAAACGTTTTCAAACAGCCAAAAAAGATGAATGGCTTTGGCTCTGGCTTCGGCTTGGAGTATTTTAAGGATACGGTAATAATGGAAAAAAAGTATTCCAGTGCCAGTGGGGTCTGAAAAAGACAAACATTTTAGTCTTCAAGCACAAATTTCATACTGCATATGATAATGTATCAATTTTGTTATTATGCACCAGTATGCATCTTAATCTCCTTAATGGAAAATTTATTGTGTAAGTACACCTGAGAGGTAATGTGTAAAATTAATATTTCATATATGGGAATAAATAAGGGAATCTTTCATTATAAATTTATAATCCACTTACCATACAGTCCCTTCCTTTTGGGATTGACAGCGCTAAGGTCATTGCATGGAGAACCTCCTATGAGTAGATCAATTGGGTATAACTCAGCAATCTGAAATAAAACACCTTTCATAAGCGCCATGAGTTTTTCTACTCCCAGAGCCTGGCCTTGGGTTAGGCTCATCTTGTACCCAGTGTCCTATATGAATGATGCCCAATTCTTAAAAGATACAGCAATATATAAATTACAATAAAGATAGCGAGGTAGGATAATAGTTCTTGTAAAATAATGCAAGAAAGGGATTCAAGGAACCTGGTTAGCTGGACTTGAGTCCTAGAGGTGAGAAGCACAGTGCTTGCATATGGACGGAGGGGTGGGGATACTGTAGTCTGGATGACCAATTGAACTGTGATGTCAGTGCCCTTCTAACAAGACAGTGATAAGTGATGATGAATGTATTTCCTCCTTTTTTTTTTAGGTAATGCTACCAAGATACTAGAGGACAAGTATGTTAAAAAATAAGAACTGGTTTTGCATTTTTCTGGGTGAAAATCAACTGTATTCTGCTCAATGTTATTACAGTACAGTATTACATTTATAGGGTAGCACTAAACCTACAGGGATCACGCAGCACCTGGGTAATAGGGGATGGGAGGCAATCAGATTAAATTCAAGTAAGGGAAGGGTGACTTCGATATTCTGGGATCAACCTTTCACTGGCATCAAAGCACCTCCTTTATGGTGTATCGTTTATAGTACACGATTACTTAACGTTTTTGGGGGGCAAAGGGCATGTAAGAAAATTACATCAAATTTTATAAAAGAAAAGAAGAGAATAAAAAAATGAATAAAGACAAAATGGAGGAAGCAAAGGTGAAGGAGGGTGAAAACATGCATGCTTGCCTTTACTAAACTATGGAAATGAAAAATAAGAAATGTATTTACTGAACTTGGTAATGTATTTAATAATTAAAAGCATGTCAATACAGAACATTACAAAAGCAATTTTTTTTTTTTCAAAAAAATATTTGCAAGAATTAGGGAAATGTACTCAACATACCTTTTTACTAGACAATGTCTGGACATTTCCCACTCGAGTAATTCTTGGTCCAAAGTTTAAATGTGAGACGTTCATTGCAGCTTCCTCGACTTCAGAAGCATAATACTTCTCGACTTCCAGGCCTAGTCTGTCCAGTACTAGCAAACCTATTAAGGAGTAATGATTAATTACTGTGTGTATAATTACAGTGGAGCCTTGGTTATTGGCTGTTCCGCTATCGGCCAACTCGGTTATCAGCCGGGTTTTCGGCTTCTGGTTATCAGCCATATGGGACATGTCAACCAGCCGGCCACTGCGGCTTGCGCATCAGTCTAGCTGTGTCTCTGGGCAAGTGAGGAAGCTTGTGCTCATTCATCCAAACATTTCCATTGTTTTTGGAGGTTTTTCATTAAGTGCAACTGCAAAATAAGTTACCATGGCCCCAAAGAAAGTTCCTAGTAAAGTTCCTTTGGCAAAGAAAGTGAGAAACACCAAGGAATTTAAGAAATAAGTTGTTGAAAAATATGAGTGGCCTTCAAGCTTGCCAGGATGTATGGGAAAACAAATCAACAATCACTTCTATCCTGGCAAAGAAAGAACAAATCAAGCAAGCTGATGTGGCAAAAGAGGCAAATGTGCTAACCAAACAAAGGCCACCAATAATTGAAAATATGGAGAAGTTATTGTCGCTGTGGATCACCTAAAAAAATTAGCGGGAGACAGTGTTGCGGAATCCATTATTTGTGAGAGGGCAAGGCAGTTGCATGTGGACCTTGTAAAGAAAATGCCTGGAACAAGTGCTGATGTTAATGAATTTAGGGCCAGCAAAGGCTGGTTTGAGAGATTTAAGAAGCAAAGTGGCATACACAATGTGGTAAGGCATGGCAAGGCTGCCAGTTCTGACAAATGTGCAGCTGAAAAATTCGTACAGGAATTCCAGGGGTACATAAAGGCTGAAGGATTCAAATCCCAACAAGTGTTCAATTGTGAGAAAACAGGCTGTTTTGAAAGAAAATACCAGAGGACCTACATTACTCAGGAGGAAAAGGCACTGCCAGGCCACAAGCCTATGAAAGACAGGCATATTCTTTTTTGTTTGTGCTAATGCTAGTGGGGATTTCAGAGTGAAGCCTTTACTGGTGTATCACTCTGAAAATCCCAGAGTGTTCAAGAAAAAGAATGTCTTTAAGAGTAAATTGTGTAATGTGGAAAGCTAATAATAAGGCATGGGTCACAAGACAAGTTTTCAGAGAGTGGGTAAATGACGTGTTTGGCCCAAGTGTGAAAAAATACCCCCTGGAAAATAAATTGCCGCTCAAGTGCCTCCTGGTACTGGACAATGCTCCCACTCATCCTCCAGGCTTAGAAGACCAGTTGTTTAGAGACTTCAGGTTTATAACAGTGAAGTTCTTGCCTCCTAACACCACTTCTCTCATCCAGCCCATGGACCAGCAGGTCATTTCTAACTTCAAAATTCTCTATACCAAAGCAGTGTTTCAAAGGTGCTTTGAAGTGACCTCGGACACAAATCTGACCTTAAGAGAGTTCTGGAGGAATCACTTCAATATCCTCCATTGCATAAGCCTTATAAGTAAGGCTTGGGAGGGAGGGATTTCTAGGACTTAGAACTCTGCTTGGAGAAAACTGTAGCCAGCTTGTGTCCAAGAGAGGGTTTTTGAAGGGTTTGAGGCTGACCCTGATGACCCTCTGCCTGTTATGGATTCTATTGTGGCAATGGGGAACTCTATGGGGTTGGAGGTTAGTGGAAAGGATGTGGAAGAGTTGGTGGACGACCACAGGAAAGAGCTAACCACTGAAGAGCTGCAAGAGCTTCAACTAGAACAACAACAGACTGCAGCTGAGGAACTTGCTTCAGAAGAGGAGGAAGAGGGAGTGAAGGAGGTGCATTCTTTGGAGATTAAAGAGATTTGTGCAATGTGGACTAGGGCACAAGCTTTTGTAAAGAAATACCACCCTGACCAAGCTGAAACAAGCCATATCTGCAACATGTTCAGTGACAAAACTTTGTCCCATTTCAAGGAAATCTTAAAGAGACGCCAGAAACAGAGCACTCTTGACAGTTATTTTGTGCGGCAGGTGTGCAGTGACTCTCAAGCTGGTCCTAGTGGCATTAAAAGACAAAGAAGGGAAGTAACCCCAGAGAGGGACTTAATACCTGAAGTCATTATGGAGGGGGATTCCCCTTCCAAACAATAACCCCAACTCCCTCTCTCCTCATCCCTATCTTCTATAAGTCAAGAAGAGTCATCAATAAAGGTATGTAATACTGATTTAATTGTTCATGTATTTATTTTAATTCATTATTTAATAAAACATTATTTTTTTGTGAATATTTTTGGGTGTCTGGAACAGATTAATTGTATTTACATTAATTCTTATGGGAAATATTATTTCGGTTTTCGGCCATTTCGGTTTTACCTGGAGTTTACCTGGAGAGAGTTCCGGGGGTCAACGCCCCCACGGCCCGGTCTGTGACCAGGCCTCCTGGTGGATCAGAGCCTGATCAACCAGGCTGTTGCTGCTGGCTGCACGCAAACCAACGTACGAGCCACAGCCCGGCTGATCCGGAACTGATAACCGAGGGTCCACTGTACCTATTTGTATTTACAAGAGCAGGAGCAAGGTAATATTTATGAAGGGATTCAGGGAAACTGGTTGGCCAGACTTGGGTTTTGAAGGTGGGAAGTACAGTGCCTGCACTGTACTTCCCACCTGTAGTATTGGCATGCCTCTGCCAAGGGAGCGATAGAGTGAGTGATGATTAGTGTGTTTCTTTGTTTTTTGGGGTCACCCTGAATTGGTAGGAAATCGCTAATATGTTATAAAAAAAAGAGAGGATCTGTGTTCGGTTTGTCACAAAATAGAACAGAGAGAGAGAGAGAGTGAGAGAGAGAGAGAGAGAGAGAGAGAGAGAGAGAGAGAGAGAGAGAGAGAGAGAGAGAGAGAGAGAGAGAGAGAGAGAGAGAGAGAGAGCTAGAGAGAGAGAGAGCTAGAGAGAGAGAGAGAGCTAGAGAGAGAGAGAGCTAGAGAGAGAGAGAGCTAGAGAGAGAGCTAGAGAGAGAGCTAGAGAGAGAGCTAGAGCTAGAGCTAGAGCTAGCTAGGTTACAACTGCTGGAATGATTCACATTACAGAGTAAGAAATAGCAAAAAAAATATTAGTTTAGAAATGTAGTGAAACTTAGCATAAATAAATATTCAAATGTTGCAAATGCATAACAAAAGAAGAAAGAATTGTAACCCATTTCCTCAGGAGGTTAAAATAAATGGTTACAGAAATGTAAAACCTGTGATAAAGTAAAAAAAAATTAAGTTTATAAATATTATCTGCCATCTTATAAACTGGAACCCCTGATGGAACTGTCTAAGACAGTAACAAACATATACATGTAGTCCATCACCTGCTGTCCATTTATTAATTTTAATGTTAATTGTATAATTTTAGAAAATTAGTGCAATTTCCCTTATGCAAGGTGGGAGGATGCTGAACAGTCTTGGGCCCCAGACACTTGCCGTCTTTTCTCTCAGAGTACTCATGGTACCCCTGCTTTTCATTGGGGTAATGTTGCACTGTCTGCCTAGTTTTGCTTTCACAGGGAGTGCAGTATATCTAGACTATTCCTGCATAACAATATGCATACTACATTTAAAGGACTCAAATACAGTTACACACTGAATTAAATGCCATGCATACAGACACAAGTTAGGATATTAAAATAAAAAAAATTATAGCATGCCTTAAAATAAATTTAGCCAGTATCAACACCCAAACACAATACCATGTTCTAACATATCTACTAGCCATTCAAAGACAACAGCTTACACTAGTATACTTACTATCTACTAAAATACAATATAAATATATGCTTTTGATCCAAAGAACCAGATCAAGGGGCATCCCCTTAAGATTTTACAGTGTTTCCTGTTTTTCTTTGTATTCTGTTCATCAGAAAACTGTAAACTGATTTCCCTAATCTGAGGTGCCCAAAAACAACAGTACACTTCAATAAAGCTACAAACCTGTACCAATACCATCAAAAAGTGACAACACTCTGAGAGGTCTCCTGGGAAAGGTCGAAGCATCAGGTGTGTCATCCTCAACATTACTTGTCTTTTGACCACGAGATTTTGATGGGAGCTGCAAGGATGTTTCAAAATTAGTTTTTTTTCATTTCATCAAAACATGATATCAACATCCAAAATACTCAGGGCAATTGATAAGATAGACAGGGAAAGGCTGTTTGGGAGTTGTCACAGATGAACCACTGGGATGAAGGAAGTACTTCCTCAAACTCAAGAGTGGTTGGGAGGTGGAATTATCTTGGTGCGGAAGTGGTGTAGGCAGGGTCCATACATAGTTTTAGCAGAAAGCAAGATAGGTTCCACGAAGTTTTAGTAGAAAGCAGGATAGGGTCCAAGAGGTTAAAGTGACTGAACACTGGCAAGTTAAGAGGGAGGCCAGGATCTGAATACAAATGAGTTTGCATACACACACAAACGTTAAATACAGTAGACCATCATTTAACACGAGTTTATTTGGCACGATTCAGGTATAGCACGATTGAAGAATTGCGCCACAATTTTATACAACACTTTGTAAAATTAATTTAACACTGTTCAGTTTGCAGGAGGGGAAAAAATTCCCTTTTCCTGAAGTGGCTGCCTTGTTGTGGATCAGCGGGGAAGACCTCCTCCCATTCCCTGCCACCCCCAACACTCCTGACACACCATCCCAGTATTCGTACTTCATACGTGTCCAGTTCCTCTTCCCTGCTACAAGCTAGCTGTGTTTGTGAATTGTGTTTTGATCTTTTAATTACCATATCTTGTATCTGCCAAGCAATCATGATACCCAGCAGGCATACCAGTGTTGCTGAAAATGGCAAGAAAAGGTATAAGCATTTAAGTCTTAGAATTAACTAAGAAAACAGAGATATTAGACAAGAGATAACCTGTGGCCGTAATGAAGCACTCTTTTTTTTTTTTTATTATTATCACACTGGTCGATTCCCACCAAGGCAGGGTGGCCCGAAAAAGAAAAACTTTCACCATCATTCACTCCATCACTGTCTTGCCAGAAGGGTGCTTTACACTACAGTTTTTAAACTGCAACATTAACACCCCTCCTTCATAGTGCAGGCACTGTACTTCCCACCTCCAGGACTCAAGTCCGGCCTGCCAGTTTCCCTGAACCCCTTCATAAATGTTACTTTGCTCACACTCCAACAGCACGTCAAGTATTAAAAACCATTTGTCTCCATTCACTCCTATCAAACACGCTCACGCATGCCTGCTGGAAGTCCAAGCCCCTCGCACACAAAACCTCCTTTACCCCCTCCCTCCAACCTTTCCTAGGCCGACCCCTACCCCGCCTTCCTTCCACTACAGACTGATACACTCTTGAAGTCACTCTGTTTCGCTCCACTCTCTCTACATGTCCAAACCACCTCAACAACCCTTCCTCAGCCCTCTGGACAACAGTTTTGGTAATCCCGCACCTCCTCCTAACTTCCAAACTACAAATTCTCTGCATTATATTCACACCACACATTGCCCTCAGACATGACATCTCCACTGCCTCCAGCCTTCTCCTCGCTGCAACATTCATTACCCATGCTTCACACCCATATAAGAGCGTTGGTAAAACTATACTCTCATACATTCCCCTCTTTGCCTCCAAGGACAAAGTTCTTTGTCTCCACAGACTCCAAAGTGCACCACTCACCCTTTTCCCCTCATCAATTCTAGGATTCACCTCATCTTTCATAGACCCATCCGCTGACACGTCCACTTCCAAATATCTGAACATATTCACCTCCTCCATACTCTCTCCCTCCAATCTGATATCCAATCTTTCATCACCTAATCTTTTTGTTATCCTCATAACCTTACTCTTTCCTGTATTTACTTTTAATTTTCTTCTTTTGAACACCCTACCAAATTCATCCACCAATCTCTGCAACTTCTCTTCAGAATCTCCCAAGAGCACAGTGTCGTCAGCAAAGAGCAACTGTGACAACTCCCACTTTATGTGTGATTCTTTATCTTTTAATTCCACGCCTCTTGCCAAGACCCTCACATTTACTTCTCTTACAACCCCATCTATAAATATATTAAACAACCACAGTGACATCACACATCCTTGTCTAAGACCTACTTTTACTGGGAAATAATTTCCCTCTTTCCTACATACTCTAACTTGAGCCTCACTATCCTCGTAAAAACTCTTCACTGCTTTCAGTAACCTACCTCCTACACCATACACCTGCCACATTGCCCCCCTATCCACCCTGTCATACGCCTTTTCCAAATCCATAAATGCTACAAAGACCTCTTTAGCCTTATCTAAATACTGTTCACTTATATGTTTCACTGTAAACACCTGGTCCACACACCCCCTACCTTTCCTAAAGCCTCCTTGTTCATCTGCTATCCTATTCTCCGTCTTACTCTTAATTCTTTCAATAATAACTACCATACACTTTACCAGGTATACTCAACAGACTTATCCCCTATAATTTTTGCACTCTCTTTTGTCCCCTTTGCCTTTATACAAATAAACTGTGCATGCTCTCTGCCAATCCCTAGGTACCTTACCCTCTTCTATACATTTATTAAATAATTGCACCAACCACTCCAAAACTATATCCTCACCTGCTTTTAACATTTCTATCTTTATCCCATCAATCCCGGCTGCCTTACCCCCTTTCATTTACCTACTGCCTCACAAACTTCCCCCACACTCACAACTGGCTCTTCCTCACTCCTACAAGATGTTATTCCTCCTTGCCCTATACACGAAATCACAGCTTCCCTATCTTCATCAACATTTAACAATTCCTCAAAATATTTCCTCCATCTTCCCAATACCTCTAACTCTCCATTTAATAACTCTCCTCTCCTATTTTTAACTGACAAATCCATTTGTTCTCTAGGCTTCCTTAACTTGTTAATCTCACTCCAAAACTTTTTCTTATTTTCAACAAAATTTGTTGATAACATCTCACCCACTTTCTCATTTGCTCTCTTTTTACATTGCTTCATCATTCTCTTAACCTCTCTCTATTTCTCCATATATTCTTCCCTCCTTGCATCACTTCTACTTTGTAAAAACTTCTCATATGCTAACTTTTTCTCCCTTACTACTCTCTTTACATCATCATTCCACCAATCGCTCCTCTTCCCTCCCGCACCCACTTTCCTGTAACCACAAACTTCTGCTGAACACTCTAACACTACATTTTTAAACCTACCCCATACCTCTTCGACCCCATTTCCTATGTTCTCATTAGCCCATCTATCCTCCAATAGCTGTTTATATCTTACCCTAACTGCCTCCTCTTTTAGTTTATAAACCTTCACCTCTCTCTTCCCTGATGCTTCTATTCTCCTTGTATCCCATCTACCTTTTACTCTCAGTGTAGCTACAACTAGAAAGTGATCTGATATATCTGTGGCCCCTCTATAAACATGTACATCCTGAAGTCTACTCAACAGTCTTTTATCCACCAATACATAATCCAACAAACTACTGTCATTACACCCTACATCGTATCTTGTATACTTATTTATCCTCTTTTTCTTAAAATATGTATTACCTATAACTAAACCCCTTTCTATACAAAGTTCAATCAAAGAGCTCCCATTATCATTTACACCTGGCACCCCAAACTTACCTACCACACCCTCTCTAAAAGTTTCTCCTACTTTAGCTCTCTTTGTGCACATAAAATGAGGTAAACATGAGTTTGTGTGATTGACTTACTGACTGAATGACTTCACTGACTGACTTACTGATACTGAATGACTTACAGACTTGACTGAATGACTTGCTGACTTGATTAATTGACTTTAGTGACTGACTGACTGGACTGAATGGCTTACTGACTTGACTGAATCAGACCTGACTGAATGACTTGACTAACTGACTGAATGACTTTACTGACTTGATTGACTTATTGAATGATGTAAAATTGGACTTTTTTACTGAAGAGGACCCTGAAACGGTGTCTAGAGCAGTTGATGCCTTACCGTCAATTGTATAATGTACTGTAGGGTAAAACAGAACAGAAATTCATTGCAGAATTTATGCACACTCCTGTACAATCATTGACTTCAGTAGCAGAACCTCTACCATCCACCTCAGCCCAGTAGGGCCACAGCATAACTCTCCACTCTCCACAAACACCAATACCCACAATTTAAGGTAAGAAATACTATCATTTCTGTTGCATTTGTAATCTTATGCAGTAAAAACAACAACAACAACAATACATCATGACAATGAACTACAATTACATATTCAAACCATACCCCGGCCGGGATTGAACCCGCGGTCAGAGAGTCTCAAAACTCCAGACCGTCGTGACGGTCTGGAGTTTTGAGACTCTCTGACCGCGGGTTCAATCCTGGCCGGGGTATGGTTTGTTTGCAATCGTGTCATTATGATTTCGTGAGTCATTATATATTCACTTTTATTTTTGTAAGATGTGGAGGCCTAAAAAAAAGATGTTTGGCTTTTTTGAGGTTCCCAGGAACGTAACCCTATTTTTCCCGTAAGTTATTCAGTTCATCTCGCATGGTTTTTTACCTAACACGGTATTTTCAGGAACGTAACTACCATGTTAAATGACGGTCTACTCTAATACAAATTATATTGCTTAAATGAAAAAACAATGAATTTATGCAATAATAGGTAAATAGTTTCTGTTGTACAAATGAGTTCTAGTAACTTAATATCAATCATGCCAGAAAACTTTTTTACTGTACTGGCATACCTCACTAATAAAGCAGGTCAGGTTCCAGACCACTGCCCTAAACTGAATATTGTCTTAAAGCAAATCACAGCCTATTTTTTCACTTGCCAGTGCATATAAAAGCTTAAAAATATGCTTACACTATCATTTATTAAGTGCACAGTAGCACCAGGCCTAAAAAATGCAAAAGTAAAAATAAAATTGAAAATTGCCGAAAATCATCTTAACCCTTTCAGGGTCCGTCCCGTAGATCTACGGCTTTACGTTCAGGGTCCAAACCGTAGATCTACGCCATGAGCTCAGCTCACTCTGATAAACTGTGAGTGGTACATTTGGGCCTAGATATGAGAGAATACATCTATGTGGTATGTGTGCACCACATAAAACAGATCCTGCAGCACACTGTGTATAATGAGAGAAAAAAAATGAAATCATGATTTTTCGATTAAAACAGCAACTTTGCAGTGTTTTTTCGTATGTTTTTAATAGTTGTATTTGCGATTTCTTGGTCTCATTTGATAGAATGGAAGACATATTACAGAAATAGAGATGATTTTGATTGGTTTTAGCATTGGAAATGGCTTGAAACTGAGCTCAAAGTAGCGGAAATGTTAAATTTTTGCCGATATTCAAGAGTAAACAAACGACCTCACACATCTAATACACGTCAGCTGGTGGGTCTAATATACATTCACAAATATGGTGATGATATTTATACAATTATTACAGTATTGCATAAGAGTAAATCTTCTATTTTTTGGTGTGAATAAAAATTCATTATGTGAATAAAAAATCAAAATGGAATTTATTTGTAAAGCCTCAAAACATAACTAATGAACAGAGGAAATGTTAGTTTAGTGCCAGGAATGCCTACATTGTTCATTCTGGACCCTATTTTGAAATTGGAATATTTTGAACTTTGTGTTAAATTGGCCAAATTAACAATTTCCGATCACTTTATTTTGTAGTTGAAACAGTTGACTTGGCGATTTCTTGTGCTCAATCGATAGAATAGAAGTAATACTAGTGAAATAGCTAAGAATTTGGTTGATTGAAATAATGTAATTGGCCTAAAATGGGAGTCAAAGTCGGCAAAATCGCCGATTCGTAAATATCGCTGACACATCAAAATTCGCGAGAGCATAATTTCGTCAATTTTCCACCAAATTTCGTACTTTTTGTTTTATTACCTTCACAAAAAGATTCTCTACGATTTCATAAGAAAAAATAACAATTTTTTTTTTTTTTAAATTCTTGGACACTGGTGCGTGACTCCAGATTTGGGCCTTGGACCCTGAAAGGGTTAAGAGCAAGGCAAACTCCAAAAATAATAAGCATGAATATAACTGGAAAGTGCCATACTAGCAGAGCACTCTAAAGTGAGCACTGTATTAACTCTCTGACTGTTTTGGTCTTACATATACGTCTTACGAGCCAGTGTTTTGGACGTATTAATACGCATAAATTCTAGCGGCTTCAAATCAAGCAGGAGAAAGCTGGTAGGCCCACATGTGAGAGAATGGGTCTGTGTGGTCAAATCAAAGTTTATTTTCTATAAGGATTAAAATGCGGGGTTTACAGATTTTGGTTATTGTGTGGTTTACATGTAATAAAATACTAATTACAGAGGGGGCCACTAGAACACTTAGCATGGCTAGGCATTTTGGGCAAACTTAGATTAATTCAGTGTGCACCACATAAAAAAATTCTGCAGCACGTAATGCATAATGAGAAAAAAAAAATGATAATTTTTCTGGATTAAAATGCCGAATTTGAGGTGTATTTTCGTATAGTATTTATCGTTGTATTCTCGCTTTCATGGTCTCATGTGATAAAATGGAAAACATATTACAGAAATAGAGATGATTTTGATTAGTTTCAAGATGAAAACGACCGTGAAATTGAGCTCAAAGTAGCGGAAATGTTCGATTTTTACCAATTTTCAGGAGTAAGCAAATGACACCACACGTCTAATACACGTCAACTGGGGAGTCTAATATGCTTCACTAATGCACTGATGTTATTTATACCATTTTTACAATAATGCAGTAGTCTTTACAACAGCAAATTTTGTATTTTTTGTATGAATAAAAAATCAAAATAGAAAGCAATGTAAGAGGGGCCTAGAGACGTGACTAATGAACACAGGATATGTTATTTTAGTGTCAAGAATGTCTATATTGTTTATTCTTGACTTTATTTTGAAATTGGCATATTTTTTAATTGCGTGAAATTGGCCAAATTGCCAATTTATGACCACTTTATTGGATAGTTCAAATCGGTAGATGGGCGGTTTCTTGTACACAACTGATAGAAAAAATGGAGTTCTAAAGAAATAACTATGAGTTTGGTCAATTGGAACAACGGAATTGGCCAAAAACAGGGCTCAAAGTCAGCAAAATCGCCGATGCATATATGTCGCCGAGACCACTAACTTCACGGGAGAGTAATTCCATGAGTTTTCAACCAAATTTTGTACTTTTGGTGTCATTACCATCGGGAAAAGATTCTCTATTATTTCACAAGAAAAAAATAATTTTTTTTTTCAAAAAAATTTTGCAACAGAATGACAGTTTCAGAAAGGGGCTTGTGACAGTCAAAGGGTTAATGAGATATACCTGTATAGTGTATATAGATATGGCATAAAATGAGGTGTGCATTGAATGTCACTAGTGCAGAAAGTACAAAAATAAAAATAAATATAATTACCTTATTCTTCCAATCAGGTCTTGGTCTGATAAGACCATGGGTGTCAGGATGGTAGGGCTCACACAGGAAACAGTACCATGGGTCAATGTCCATTATAGTTTGTACAGCATCAGGAGATACCAGCAACTCTATGCACCCTGTACAGAACACTCTGTGGAAAAGAGACAAAGATTGATTTTAGCGTTTTATTTTATGTTATACAGGTCCTCCTCGACTCACAATGGGGTTAACGTTCCGACAAATCCATGGTAAGGCGAATAAGATAAGCTGAATAAATAAGCAAATACCTACTATCACTGAATAAGTAAACAAGTAATTATTGTAACTAACTATATACCAGTATTGAAAATAAAATAAATGAATATAAGTTATGGACTTGTCGCATTCATGCTGGGTAATTACCTTAAGTTTCATCTCCAGAGTAACTGATTTTGCGCGATCACAAAGTCAAAATATCGTAAGTCAAACCATCATAAGTCAAGAAGCACCTGTATATTTTATTTTGGATACACAAGGTTTCACCTTCCTCCCCAAAGCAAAACTATGAAATACAGATACACAATATTTTTCTTATTTTACCTCAATGGTTGCCTCCTGCCAAGGCATGGTAACCCAGGGTGACCCAAAACTAACCTAGCAACTTAAACAAACTTTGCTAAAATTTATGTAATAGAGTAAATTTATCTAGCTTGTAAACATCTGCATAGGTATAGCTAGGTCAGGCTTGTACTAATCAAGCTCACACTAATCAAACTTGTACTAATCAAGCTTACACTAATCAAGTTTGCACTAATTGAGCTTCCACTAATTCAGACCTTGCTGTATTTCACTCTTTCCCTCAGGAAGCAAATCTCTGAATTGTTGAAAACATTTTTATTATTGACATTTAAGGCAGGCAATAATTTCACTGTCTCATATTTTATTACAATACTAACTCTAGTGCAATCAGGTTTCTGGTAATTGATAACAAATGCAAAGCATACATTACCTTTCACACTGTGGCTCATCACAGAGAAGAACTTCTCCAGGACCTCCACATACAGCACAATACTTCTGTTTTGTAAAACATTTGAGACTGTAATAATGTTGGTAGAATTACTGAGAATATGTTAGATAAAAGGATACGTGCAACTAATGTGACATTTTATTGTGGCAATGTTTCACTCTCCAGAAGCCTTATCATGCCATTACGGCTTGACAAAATTTCTGGAGAGTGAAACGTTGCCACAATAAAATGTCGCATTAGTTGCACTTGTGTCCCTTTACCTAACATTTTAGAGACTGTTAATTTGAAATATAATATTTTCAATATTTGGGTATTTCAGAACAATATGTGAGTTATTCTATTTTGAGGATGTCTAGATATGTTTAGAATCTGATGAGTATTGCAATAGATGATGCTCATCTAGTTGTTCTTGCCTAGTAGTATTTCCAGGGATTGAGTCATAACTCCCAGCCTTGACTTTTACCTCCTATCAACCAATTCTACTGATTTCTGTCCTCCAGGGTGATATAGTACTTGTGAAGGATTCATGTACATGATGGTCAGTGAGTGGAGGCAAGTGGTTTTTACAACTTGATGTGCTGGTGAAGTGTAAGTGTGAAGGAAAACTAGTTTGCCAGATTTGAGGCCTGGTGGTGGGAAGAGCAGTGCCTGCACTCTGGAGGGGTGAGGCAGTTCAGAGGGCCATCTCAACTGTGATATCAGCACACTTCTGGCAAGACAGTGATTGAGTGAATGATGGTGAATGTGTTTAAAAAAAATGTTCAGTATCTTATGTATTTTAGAGTGGTTGTATTGTTCAGTAAACTTCATAGGTCACAGCTGGTGATAAGCGGAGAGAATAAGGTAGCCATTGATAAGATACAAGTGTCCCTAATTTTATACAATAAATGCATTCCAAGTCCATGGTAACAGAACTAAGCTCAATCAGGTCATGAATGCAATGTTTCAACATGTTTTCTAACTGCACCAATCACATAAGGCAAATGTATGTCACACATCCAGGATTGCCAAGAGAAATACATCTCCTAAAGGTAAATATGTTTAAAATAAACCATATATAAAATGAGGGACAACTATAGTTATTAATATTATTTTTGAGTCTTTTGAAGGCCACTATGTAGGAGAGTTCCAGTGGAGGAACAGCTTTTTAATTCACTAGCAGTAATAATTGCTGAAAGTTTACAGTACTGACAAGTTGATGTGTAAGATATAGTATGTGTAACACTTGGGTATCTTCATTGCCAAAAACAGCAATAAGGATATCTAAGTGTTGAATAAATAGCAGATTAAATCTCCATGCACTCCTAGTGAGACAGCAATTCAATGAGTAATGGTGAATGTGTCTTTTTTGGATCATCCTTCCATGGTGAAAAATGGCTGACATGGTTGAAAAAATTACTATTTGGGAAACTTGAGAGCTGAGTGTCACTGGATTGACAGGGTCATATTAGAGCCACCAGCAATTATTACTACATTACATGACTTGTTAAGTTTTTGTTTATGATGGTTATATATTACCATACCATGTTGTGAAGATGATAAGAAAGAGATGATTGTGGATGTTATGAATGAGAAGAAGCTGGATGTCCTGGCTTTAAGTGAAACAAAGCTGAAGGGGGTGGGAGAGTTTCAGTGGAGAGGAATAAATGGGATTAGGTCAGGGGTTTCAAATAAAGTTAGAGCTAAAGGAGTAGCAATAATGTTGAAGGATAAGATATGGCAGGAAAAGAGAGACTATAAATGTATTAATTCAAGGATTATGTGGAGTAAAATAAAGGTTGGATGTGAAAAGTGGGTTATAGTAAGCGTATATGCACCTGGAGAAGAGAGAAGTGCAGAGGAGAGAGAGAGATTTTGGGAAATGTTATGTGTATGCGTGGGGAGTTTTGAACCAAGTGTGAGAGTACTTGTGGTTGGGGATTTCAATGCTAAAGTGGGTAAAAATGTCGTGGAGGGAGTAGTAGGTAAATTTGGGGTACCAGGGATAAATGTAAATGGGGAGCCTTTAATTGAGCTATGTGTAGAAAGAGATTTGGTAATAAGAAATACATATTTTATGAAAAAGAGGATAAATAAATATACAAGGTATGATGTAGAACGTAATGGAAGTAGTTTGTTAGATTATGTATTGGTGGATAAAAGGTTGATGGGTAGGCTCCAGGATGTACATGCTTATAGAGGGGCAACTGATATATCGGATCATTATTTAGTTGTAGCTACAGTTAGAGTAAGAGGTAGATGGGACAAGAGGAAGGTGGCAACAACAAGTAAGAGGGAGGTGAAAGTGTATAAACTAAGGGAGGAGGAAGTTCGGGTGAGATATAAGCAACTATTGGCAGAAAGGTGAGCTAGTGCAAAGATGAGTAGTGGGGGGATGGGGGGGGTTGAAGAGGGTTGGATGAGTTTTAAAAATGCAGTATTAGAATGTGGGGCAGAAGTTTGTGGTTATAGGAGGGTGGGGGCAGGAGGAAAGAGGAGTGATTGGTGGAATGATGAAGTAAAGGGTGTGATAAAAGAAAAAAAGTTAGCTTATGAGAGGTTTTTACAAAGCAGAAGTGTTATAAGAAGAGCAGAGTACATGGAGAGTAAAAGAAAGGTGAAGAGAGTGGTGAGAGAGTGCAAAAGGAGAGCAGATGATAGAGTGGGAGAGGCATTGTCAAGAAATTTTAATGAAAATAAGAAAAAAATTTGGAGTGAGTTAAACAAGTTAAGAAAGCCTAGGGAATGTATGGATTTGTCAGTTAAAAACAGAGTAGGGGAGTTAGTAGATGGGGAGAGGGAGGTATTAGGTAGATGGCGAGAATATTTTGAGGAACTTTTAAATGTTGAGGAAGAAAGGGAGGCGGTAATTTCATGCACTGGCCAGGGAGGTATACCATCTTTTAGGAGTGAAAAAGAGCAGAATGTAAGTGTGGTGGAGGTACGTGAGGCATTACGTAGAATAAAAGGGGGTAAAGCAGCTGGAACTGATGGGATCATGACAGAAATGTTAAAAGCAGGGGGGATATAGTGTTGGAGTGGTTGGTACTTTTGTTTAATAAATGTATGAAAGAGGGGAAGGTACCTAGGGATTGGCAGAGAGCATGTATAGTCCCTTTATATAAAGGGAAGGGGGACAAAAGAGATGGTAAAAATTATAGAGGAATAAGTTTACTGAGTATACCAGGAAAAGTGTACGGTAGGGTCATAATTGAAAGAATTAGACGTAAGACAGAATGTAGGATTGCGGATGAGCAAGGAGGTTTCAGAGTGGGTAGGGGATGTGTAGATCAAGTGTTTACTTTGAAGCATATATGTGAACAGTATTTAGATAAAGGTAGGGAAGTTTTTATTGCATTTATGGATTTAGAAAAGGCATATGATAGAGTGGATAGGGGAGCAATGTGGCAGATGTTGAAAGTGTATATGGAATAGGTGGTAAGTTACTAAATGCTGTAAAGAGTTTTTATGAGGATAGTGAGGCTCAGGTTAGGGTGTGTAGAAGAGAGGGAGACTACTTTCTGGTAAAAGTAGGTCTTAGACAGGGATGTGTAATGTCACCATGGTTGTTTAATATATTTATAGATGGGGTTGTAAAAGAAGTAAATGCTAGGGTGTTCGGGAGAGGGGTGGGATTAAATTATGGGGAATCAAATACAAAATGGGAATTGACACAGTTACTTTTTGCTGATGATACTGTGCTTATGGGAGATTCTACTAAAGAAAAATTGCAAAGGTTAATGGATGAGTTTGGGAGTGTGTGTAAAGGTAGAAAGCTGAAAGTGAACACAGAAAAGAGTAAGGTGATGAGGGTATCAAATGATTTAGATAAAGAAAAATTGGATATCAAATTGGGAAAAAGGAGTAAGGAAGAAGTCAATGTTTTCAGATACATGTACTTGGAAGTTGACGTGTCGGCGGATGGATTTATGAAGGATGAGGTAAATCATAGAATTGATGAGGGAAAAAAGGTGAGTGGTGCGTTGAGGTATATGTGGAGTCAAAAAAACGTTATCTATGGAGGCAAAGAAGGGAATGTATGAAAGTATAGTAGTACCAACACTCTTATATGGATGTGAAGCTTGGGTTGTGAATGCAGCAGCGAGGAGGTGGTTGGAGGCAGTGGAGATGTCCTGTCTAAAGGCAATGTGCGGTGTAAATATTATGCAGAAAATTCGGAGTGTGGAAATTAGGAGGAGGTGGGGAGTTAATAAAAGTATTAGTCAGAGGGCTGAAGAGGGGTTGTTGAGGTGGTTTGGTCATTTAGAGAGAATGGATCAAAGTAGAATGACATGGAGAGCATTTAAATCTGTAGGAGAAGGAAGGCGCTGTAGGGGTCGTCCTCGAAAAGGTTGGAAGGAAGGAGTAAGGGAGGTTTTGTGGGCGAGGGGCTTGGACTTCCAGCAGACGTCCATGAGTGTGTTAGATAGGAGTGAATGGAGATGAATGGTATTTGGGACCTGACGATCTGTTGGAGTGTGAGCAGGGTAATATTTAGTGAAGGGATTCAGGGAAACCGGTTATTTTTATTTAGCCGGACTTGAGTCCTGGAAATGGGAAGTACAATGCCTGCACTCTAAAGGAGGGGTTTGGGATATTGGCAGTTTGGAGGGATATGTTGTGTATCTTTATACATATATGCTTCTAAACTGTTGTGTTCTGAGCACCTCTGCAAAAACAGTGATTATGTGTGAATGAGGTGAAAGTGTTTAATGATGATGAAAGTATTTTCTTTTTGGGGATTTTCTTTCTTTTTTGGGTCACCCTGCCTCGGTGGGAGACGGCCGACTTGTTGAAAAAAAAAAAAAATTACCATAGTTCTATATTACTGGAAACGCTTGAATTTCCTCAACCTGTACTCCCTAGAATGCAAGCGGGAGAGATACATGATTATATATACTTCGAAAATCCTAGAGGGATTAGTACCAAACTTGCACACGAAAATCACTCCCTATGAAACCATAAGACTCGGCAGATGATGCAACATCCCCCCAATGAAAAGCAGGGGTGCCACTAGCACGAAAAGAGACAACACATTAAGTGTCAGGGGCCCAAGACTGTTCAACTGCCTCCCAGCATACATAAGGGGGATTACCAATAGCCCCCTGGCTGTCTTCAAGAAAATGCTGGACAGGCACCTAAAGTCAGTACCTGACCAGCCGGGCTGTGGTTCGTACATCGGGTTGCGTTCGGCCAACAATAACAGCCTGGTTGATCAGGCCCTGATCCACCATGAGGCCACAGGGGCACTGAGCCCCGGAACCCTCTCCAGGTGTACACCAGGTATATAGAATCAATGGACTGATAAAATACTGGAATAAAGCATTAAACAGGAGGAAAAACCCCCACTGATGGTTAAGACGATGGGAGATGGAATTAAAACTGTGTGTAATTCTCCACAGACAGACAATATAAACTGTTCTTGAGCTAAGTAAAGCAACCACTCAAAACAGAGTTACTGTGTAGCATTACAATCATTCTTTAACAGTTTAATATTCAATACCTTGACTATAAATTCTACTCCTTTATTAATTAATGTCCCTCTACAAATATCCACCTCTAGTATGTCTAGTAGTGTACTATAGTATTTGGTGTAAATAAGGTTTTAAGTCACTAGCTACTGCAGAACTCATGATAGCTTTAGCAAGTTTCACTTACAAAAATAGAACTTTTTGTGCTTTAAGATCATATAGAGGTGTTCCATTCACAGACTATTTTGCTGTTATAGCTACCCACCTTCACATCCTTTGGCAACAACATTGGTCTGCTCTGCTCAATAACAAACTTTGTTCTATTAAACCGAGTATAGGTTACTGGCCGTCTTCTTGTCATCAGTGTCGAGGTTGGGAGACTACTCTCTCCCGCCTTCGCATTGGCCACACTCATCTTACTCATGGATATCTCATGGAGAGGCGCCCTGCCCCTCTCTGTGAGAATTGTCAGGTTCCAGTATCGGTCAGCCACATTCTGTAAGACTGCCCACTTTATCAACGAGCATGCAGAATTTACCTCCGTTGTCGTCTTTGCTCTGCTGCTCTCTCTTTACCTTCCCTTCTTGCTGATGGACCCACCTTTCATCCAGACTCTCTCATTGACTTTTTGACAACAACTGACTTACTCCACAAACTCTGATGATGATACCTTCAGCCCTTTCTACCTCAATCTCTTGCTACCCTCTACCCCCGCACTATCCCCTGCCCTGCTGTTTTCTGTAACCGATCATCCCTCTCCCCTTCTGCCGCCCGATACCCTCGCTTCCTTCCCTGCCCTGCAGCACTGTATAGCCCTTGTGGTTTAATGCTTCTTTTTGTTTATAATAATAATAATAATAATAATAATAATAATAATAATAATAATAATGTGCTTTAAGATGAAGTTACATAATCAATAAGAACTTCTGAAGTACATAATTTGAATTGCAATATCTGCATACTTTTGCAATAACAATAGACTGAGCATGATGGTCTACCTACCTGGAGTCTAGCTGGAGAGTATTCTGGGAATCAACGTCCCCGTGGCCTGGTCCATGACCAGGTCTCCCAGTGAATCAGGGCTTGATCAACTAGGCTGTTACTGCTGGCCATACGTAGTCCAACATACAAATCACAGTCCGGCTGGTCTGGCAGTGACTTGAGGTATTTGTCCAGCTCCCTCTTGAAGACAACCAGGGGTCTATTGGTAATTCCCCTTATGGCTGTTAAACAGTCTTGGTCCCCAGACACTTACTGTTTTTTCTCTTAGTGTATTAATGGTGCCCCTAATCTTCATTTGGGCATATGTTGCATCACCTGCCAAGTCTTTTGCTTTCATAGGGAATGATTTCTGTGTGCAGATTAGAGACCAGTCCCTCTAGGATTTTCCAGGTGTAGATTATGATGCATGTCTCTCACCTGTGCTCCAGTGAATATAAGTCAAGTGCTTCCAAGCACTTGGTGAATATATTTCCTTCTCTAGGTAATTATGCTTTAGTGAAAACTAATCGAGGCATAAAAAAATTATTCGTGAGTAAAAGAATGCACAACAAGCACTTAAGAAATTAAACTTACAGGGTCTCCGTCATCACCAATCGTCATTACATTATCTTCAAGCTCCTCCTGTACAAAAATAAAGAAGAACCATTTAATGAAATCTTAGTTTCAATAAATTAGATTTATTATCAATAAATATACATAACTTGATGGGTAGGTAATAAGTTGTTAGAGAGCAACCACCCAGCAGGCTACTGTCATCCTCTTATATTATGCTATCATCCTGTCATATTATGCTACTGTCATCCTCATATTATGCTATCATCCTGTCATATTATGCTACTGTCATCCTGTCATGTTATGCTATTGTCATCCTTTCCTATTATGCTACTGTTATCCTGTCATATTATGCTACTGTCATCCTGTCATATTTTGCTTCTGTCATCCTGTCATATTTTGCTACTGTCATCCTGTCAAATTATGCTACTGTCATCCTGTCATATTATGCTACTGTCATCCTGTCATATTATGCTACTGTCATCCTATCATATTATACTACTGTTATCCTGTCATATAATGCTACTCTCATCCTGTCATATTATACTATCATCCTGTCATATTATGCTACTATCATCCTGTCATATACTGCAACATTAAATGTTGCTCTCTTAAATGTTTTGTATTCTGGCAGGAAAACTGATCTATAATTTCTAACATTAAAGTTGACAGGTAAATCTTAGAAACTTATACAGCATTACCATTCAGGATACAATGCATGCAGATGCATACTAGTGGCTTTCTTGTGTGCCTAACAGCATTTTATTACATGTATACCTGGAGAGGGTTTCAGGGGTCTATGTCTCCATGTCCCAGTCTATGACCCACAAGCTAATTTATTTTTGTACTGCATAAAAAGAAATAAAAATCTGAATTAGAATGTACAGGTGGGCCCCACTTATATAGCAGGTTTGGTTCCGAGTTACTGGTGTGAAGCGAAAATCATCGTGAAGTGAAACATAGCTTTTTTTTATTTCACTTTCCAATGCTTTTAAAAGTCTAATAACATGTTTACACTATCATGTATTAAGTGAACAGTAAAACTAGGCCTAAAAAATGCATGTACAGTATACACATTACTTACCTTAAAATATTTTTGTTTTATAGTGAGTGGTGAATATATTTATTGTAGTAAGTCAGAATAAATGAAAAATAGGTATACAGTGGAACCTCAGCTTTTGTCTTTAATTTGTTCCAGAAAGTCTGACAAAACCCAAATTCGATGAAAACTGAAGCAATATTTCCAATAAGAAATAATGTAAATCCAATTAATCAGTTCAAGACACCCAAAAGTATTAACAAAAAATACATTTTATAGAGCATAAGTATAGTTTTACATACAGGAAGGAAACAATGAGAAATCAATATAAAGCACTAATGAAATGGATAAATGTACAATTAACATAACTTTTACCTTTATTGAAGACTCTTGTTAACGTATGGAAGACAGCGAGGAGGGGAGACGGAGGAGAGGTTATTGTTTGGAAGGGAAATCCCCTTCTATAAGGAATTCAGGTATCAAGGCCCTATCTGGGGTTTACTCCCTTCTTTGTCTTCTACTGGCACTAGGACCAGCTTGAGTTATTGCACCCCTGTCGCATAAACAATCTGTCCAGAGAGATCTGATGTCTCTTTAAGATTTGCCTAAAATGGGACAAGGCATTGTCATTGAACATGTTGCAGACATGGCTTGCAACAGCTTTGTTAGGGTGATATTTCTCTACAAAACTTTGCAGCTCACTCCACTTTGCACACATGTCCTTAATCACTGAACAAGGCACATTCTTCCCTCTCTCTTCCTCCTCCTCTGAAGCAATTCTGTTGTGTCTTGGAACTTTCTTTGGCCCCATGGTGGCTTATTTAGCAGTTGCACTCAATAAGCAAGCAAAAAAAAAAATGGATTATTACGATATGTTTCATATGAAAGTGCAGGGTAATGTTCACTTGACGAGAAACAAAGCCAGATTGACTCAGAACGCATGCAAGGGATGGTTTGTGTGGGCATGAGCAGGCAGACATGTTCGGTACGGCGGACAAAAACCGAGGTGATGAGCGAAAACTGGGACAAGGTTTTGACAGAAAAAAGTTGTCGAAAACCGAATTTGACAAAAACCAGGGCAAACGAAAACCGAAGTTCCACTGTAATTGAAAACCAATGCGTTAGTGAAAAGCTGTAAAGTGAGGCCATCCTGTATGTGTAAATCTTTGCACAATTTTAAATAAGCCATCTCAGGTATCAATATTATCAGAATATCAGTTTTGGGCCCCCCTGCTCCTTTCTGCTAAGTTTGGACTCCCACTTCCTTCCATCCTTTACCGTATTCCCATTTCTTTGCTGAAGTGAGATTGTCCCAATGACAGAACCTATTTGTAATCCAATATGGACAATATAGACTGTAAACATGACTGTAAGGTGAGTTAACATGCCCAGAGAAAGATAATAGACATAGTACTCAGTTTGGTACAGGCATTGTAGAGAACAAAGATGTGTGAGCATTCTGAGGATAGATTGAAGGAGTCCACACTAAGCAAGGAATACAAGGAAAAAGATGGTTCTTCTAGTGCACAGAGTCCAAAGATTTTATTGAAGTATCTGAGGTTCTGAATCCCAGATATGGCAGCATGTTAACAAACACAAGTACCATGGCTGTAAGGCAACTTACTGGCAATGATTCAATTAAAAAATTCTAATTATATGGTCTATAAATAAGTTAAGCCAAGTTTCAGAACACACATTATGTACATGCTACAGGATGGGTACATACAAACCTTTACTATACATGGGTTGCTTTCCTGTCAAAATTAATGATCCAGTGCACAGCATAAAAAAAAGCAAGTTTCCTTATTAAATGAAATATTAGAGTGGCAGCTGTTATCAATGTACAAGTCGTCAAAATATCGTAGGGCGATCACTCAGGATGAATTACCAATGCTGACAATCTAGATGACCACTTTCTCCTCTAAACTACAAGTTAAGTATAAATGTAGGAATCTCAAGTCATGTTTCAGTATTCTCTACCATCTATATATCCAATCAAATATCTGAAATAACAGTGCTTTATATAAATGCTTAAAGATGTACTTTAAATGCAATCATAAGTCACATTAGTGAAGATTCATTAAAGTGTACTACAGGCAAACCCCCAAATTCATGAGCTTCGTAATTTGCAAGATATAATATTTTTTTACTTGAAAGGAATCTTGCAATTGGCTTCGACTGTTTATGAATTCTTTCGTAGACTTTTTTAGGGTTTAGAGCACAATCTGTAAACTGAAATCTAATTATAGGAAATTTTTTCCAAAGTTTTCTGTGGCTTTCCCACTCCCAAATCTTTGAGTTTGGACATTCTTCTTATGAATGTCAATATTAATCAGATTAGAGCAATATCTAGAGATATATTCTCTCTTACACCAAATGAGCTCAAACCTGAAGCAAACTTCATTATGCAAACAGAATTTTGTATCATTTGTAAATTCCAGATTCACGAGATTTCCAGGAATGTAACCCTTGCGAATTTGGGAGTTAGACTGTACATATTTTTATTGTACAAAATTAAATGCACAGCAGTGCACAGTTATCTTGATCTATGACTTTGCAGGTAAGAACAATACCTGGTTGGACTTTCCTGGCACAACCATCAGGATGCAGGGTCTCCCGGTCACTTTCCATCATACGAGTTGCACACGCAGTTACCAGCATGTCTGCGAGTGCAATATACCAGTATTTCCCAATGTGAGATTTTGAGTCAAAATTTCTGCACACACAAAAAGTCTTTCAAACCAAAGTGTTTATCATTACAGTCATCATCACAAATTTGTGGATTTTTTTTTTTTTTTTTTTCAATTTGATTAGCCAATATTTTTTACTGGTGGGCATCCTGTAAATAGATTCAAGTGTCCAAGGGTATTCTGCAGGTACTCGTACACTCAATAGCCCTCTTCTGACCAAATTTTTTCCATTCTGACCTTCTTTCATATGAATATCAATATTAACCAGACTAGAGATACATTATATTAAAGAGAATCTCTGCACTGCAAAATTTATCCAAATTTGAACAATTTAGTACACATACTATTTGGTATTACAGGAGACCCTTGGATAATGTGACCCCAGTAACATCAGTTTGCACTCACTTGTTTCCTATGAACGTGCAGTAACTGCTGGTAGACTTACGGTCAGTGAGCGGTAGGACATTTTCCCTCCACACTAGAGGGTGAAGCTGTTGTTCCTAGGGGAGGCCTTGAATCATCATTTATCAGTCTTCCCACCCACTCATGTATTTTCTAACCTATTTTTAAACCTACTAAAGCTATTAGCTTCAATTATTTGGGTAACTTTAAAAATAGGGTAGAAGTGAGAAGGGTTGGATTTGAAAAGGACCTACTACAGTGCTTCTCTATTCTTATTGTCTTATGAGCAGGGTCCAAGAAAGAAAGTTGAACTTGTGGACTGAGGAAAAAAAAATGTTCTCTGTTTAGCGGTCAGATGATAGGACAGACAATTCTGTCTTATAATAAAAGAGTAAGTCTGATGGCTGGCTGTACTAGGTTATCCTGGGTTACTAACCCTCTGGTAACAAGTCGTCCTTTTCTTCCTCTAGTGGAAGCATAGTTTTGTTTTGATTTTTCAATAATATTTATGAAGGTTGCAGAGTTTTTCTTTACTCTTTCTTTAGAAATGAGGCCTAATCTGTACTTATCATAATCATGTTGTCGACTGATCCAAGTAGGCCTTTTGTGAGCAAAAGGCAAAATAAATCAAGGCTCACAAGAGGCTTACTCTGATCAATAGATAAGAAACATGATAGTAAGTACAGGTTAGGCTTCATTTCTAAGGAAATAGTAGGAAAATACTCAACAACCCTCACAAGTAATACCAGAAAAATGAAACAAGATTACTATTCCATTAGATTTAATAATTCCAAAGGAGATATACTAAAACAAACTTGGAGAACCCTCTCCCAAATTCTTGGAAAAAAAAAACATCTCCAAGGAACAAATAATCCTCTGTAAGGCAAATGAACTCCCAACCCTCTCACCCATCAATACTGATAACAAATAATAGCTTC